ACACACACACACACACACACACACACACACACACACACACACACACATGATTTTTAACTATAACATTAAAATGCCTCTGCAAAAATTTCAGCCAGAAGACAGATGGAGGATAAATTTCTGTGTGTGTTCCAAAATCCTCGAAAACAATTCATGCGACTACCTGTGAATACCTCCATGCTTACAGTCATAGGTTCCACAAGCCAGCCATGGAGGCATGCACACACAGTCTCCACAGTTAGGAGGCTGAAGCAGAAGGATCTGGAGTTCAAGTCCAACCTAAGCTATATCCTGCAGAGTCAGACCCTGTGTTAAAACAGAACAAAAGGTTATAAGTGTATATGGTACTTAATTCAAGACTTTTAATAATAAAATACAACATATTCAATATTTTGTCCTGAAGTTAGAACCTATTTTATGTCTAAGACAAACAGGTGTAACTTATTTTTTTAATTATGTTTTATTTATCATTTGGCTTAGACACGAGTGCATGTGTGTGTGTGTGTGGTGGGCGTACATGCTGCAGCGTGCATGCAGAGGTCAGAGGCAGATTTGTGGGAGTCAGTTCTCCTTTTCCATTATGTGAGTTTTAGGGATCAAACTCATGTGGTTCATTTGAGGGTAACGTCTTTACGGACTGAGCCATCTTGAAAACGCTCTCCTCTTTTAGTGATAAAATAACTTATCATTTACCTGCAAGTTCCCTCAACTGAGCTTTTTCTTTGGAGAGCATATCGCCTTTGCAATATATTAATTTTATTTTTTTTCTTTTCCAATCTTTACATCATATATTTCATTTCTTGCCTCACTACGCTGTCTAGATCCTCCAGCACAATTTTGAACAGAAATGGTTATTTTGTACATTTTTGTCTGATTATTAATCTTAAATGCTTTCAGAAGCTCACCATGAGGTTTGCCAGAAGTTCCCCGTGACATGGGTGACATTTTCTTCTTTTTGTCATGAAAGAAACCCTGGGATCAGATAGACCACTCTGCATTAGGCAGAGCAGGAGCAGGGGCTGCAGATGTGTGCTCCCACGGCTGGTTCACAGGGCTGGGGAGCAACCGCAAGGCTTTGTGCTAGGCCACAGCTCCACCAGGGAACTACACCCCAGCTTCATCTAACTTGTTACTTAGCAGTTTGGTGATGAGGTATGTCAGCTCTGTTGCTAGGCAGCACTGCTTATGGCTGAAATCATGGGCTGACTGGCAGATTACATCTGGACTAGAAGGAACCATGAAAAAAACAAAAACGAAACAAAACAAAAAAACTGGGACTATCTAGCATGGAACCAGAGGTGTGGGCTTCCCTAAGCACAAGGGCCCAGGGGCCTATGAGAAGTCTAAGATCTGTGCCTCTTACACTGCAGGATGGAACTTTTCTAAAGGGAAATCTTTCGCCTGATTTGCACTCGACACATCATCTAGGAAGGCCAAAGGAAAAATAGCAAACGATAGCTCTAGAAATCTGTACTACAGAATATTATGTCTTCTAAGATGGTCCTGTATTATATATGTATATATAAATCTTCATGTAGATATCTCATCTGAGAAGAATTATACCAAAGAGACCTGTAGAGTTTGTAGGAGCCTGTCTAGCTGCACTCTTAGTGTGGTGAGGTTTATCCACTGATGTTGGACTTGGTGAAGGCATTCCTGGAATAAGCCCTACTTGATCGCCATCTTTTTGTTTGATGGATTTTGTTTGGTAATATTTTGTCTAAGCTTTTGTACCCTTGTTCCTAAATGAAATTAGACTGGCTATTTCCCTGTCGTCTACTGTCTACTAAACTTTTAGAAGTATGGCTATTACTTTCAGAGAGAGGGCCCCACGTTCTCTCCTTGTGCACGCTCTGGGATAGATTGGGCTGGGTTGGACGGTTCTTGCTCCTTATATGGCTTTTCAAATAAAACTTTTCAAGTAAAACTGATTGAGTTTGGAGTTTCTTTGAAGGACGATTTTAAAGTACTTACTGGATGCCTTCAGTGGTTATAGGACTATAAGATTTTTTTTTTTTTTTTTGCTTAAGTCTGTGTTGCTAGGCACCTGTAATCCCCACCAGCCGTTTCATTTTCCCCTTCATTTTATATACGTTTTCAACCTGCAGGCAAAGAGCTCGTAATGGATGATGATAACGACAGGGGAGAAAGGAAAGACGAGAGGGAGGGAGAGAGGAAGAGGGAGAGAGGTGAGGTGAGTGTATCGGTCTTAATATTCCCATCCCTTCCCTCAGCCTTCCCAACAGCTGACATTACAAATGAGCACCATTGTCTCCGACACTCTTCTTAACACTTACTCATCTATAATGCCTGAGAAAAGTTCCTCTTTTATTTATAAGATTGGTTTTTACCTGGTTTTCTTTTTTAAAAAAATTAACTTATTTATCTTTATTTTTACATGTCTGGGTGTTTCATCTGTAGTTACATCTGTGCACCATACGGATGCAGTGCCCACAGAGACCAAAAGAGGGCGTCAGAACCCCTGGAACTGGCGTTCCAGATGGTTGCCATCCACCGTGCCTGGGACTTGAACCTGGGTTCATCAGGAAGACCAGTCAGGTGAACTTTTAGCCGTTGAGCCAACTCTCCAGCCCCTACCCTTTTTACTCCTTTTTTATATTTAATCTTAGCAGAGTTTTCTTAGTCGTATTAGTCATTTCAAAGAAGCAACTTTTAGCTTCGTTAACTTCATTTGTTATTTATCACTACTTTTGGACTCAATTTCTATTCTAAGCATATTTTTCTCTTTGTGTGTGTGTGTTGTGTACATATACGTGTTTGTGTGTGTGCACATGTGTGCACGTGTGTGTAGAGGCCAGAGATCAGAGATCGTCTTCCTCATTTACTCTCTGACTTATTTAAGTATCTAACAGAATTGGAGCTCACTGAGCTATGCTGGCTTCTAGCGTGCTCTATGATCCTGCCTGACTCAGTACATTAAGTGGGAAAGTTTTAAAATTATTCTATAGATAGGCTGGTGAGCTGGGTGGGTGGACACGGGTGCCTGCCGCAGGCCCCTCTATTTAGAACTGAGAAAGCTGACATTCTGTCCAAATAAAACGATTTCATAACCAAAGTCAGAACGTTCGTTGGACCAGGGAGAATAGCTTTACTACTTGCCTTGATTGTCTGATTTAAACAACTGGGTCGAAAGACAAGCCAGTGCAGTGAATGATTAGCCGCGGACCCCTTGTGTCAGAGCTGTCAATGGAACAGATAGCTTGACTACTATCCTCGGTTTTTCCTGCAGTGTGACTCCAGACCCCACTCAGAGTTTTTGCACTGGTAACACGGGAGACGCTGTGATCACAGAGCCAGTACTACACTAATAAACTAAGCCTTAAATCTCGTCAGTGAGATGTTTCCTCGGAGAGACAAATGCCGGTGATCAGCCCCAAGTCCCTAACGGGCATGCTTGACAGAGCTCCATTAGCAGGCCTGCCTGCCAGGTGTCACTGTCCAGAGACGCCACCACTCAGCTGCTGCAGGGTCCTCTGACTCCTCCTCGTCCTCAGCTGGCGAGGTCGCAGTGCTGATGGCCATCTCAGCAGGAGAGTTCAAACCCTTCCAGCTGACTCCCGAGAATTGCTCTTACACCTGAGCAGCTGCCAAAAAACAGCTTTTCAACTTACCTTAATATTTTGCTGCCACATGCTTGTCCGCTTAAGAGCTGGGAACTGCCATTTTCAACCAAAATGAGTTCCCCTTCTACCATCTTTAGATGGAGATGTTTGGATGGAGATCACGCACCCACCTTTTCACAGCCATCTAGACCGTTGTACCCTTTACAGGAACAGCTGCCTCATCTCAGCTGACACAGCCTGATTCACTAAAATGCGTACAGACAAGCAAGGGGCCTGGAGCTCTCTGCTGAGTCTTTGGATTACCTTCTCCCTTACACTAGCAAATGCAAGCCTAAATACTAGTCCACAGCAGGAAATGCTTCCGGCGGGAAGGCAGCTTTCTCCTAGGGCTGGGGGAGCCTCTTCTAGTGACATTTCGAACACCGGGTTTTGGGGAAAGTCCCTGTATGTTATACACCTGAGCTTGCATTTCGGAGGCCACATGAAGAAGGCTGGACTGGATGGTAGAGGGACACCTTTCTGGATTTGCAGGCCGAGATTATAGTCCGTTGACACTACGACCTCAGTTTCATCCATGCAATACTTCGAGTGCTCTAAACCGACAGAAGGAGAACCTTACGTGCAAATAGCATCCTGAACACTGTTTATCGGGAGTGGGTCAGCGGCTGCACCTTCTGGGAGAACAAGTTTACTGGCTGCCTTGTAATCATTTAAAATATTTTATTAAGTGCCGATTTAAAAAAAATGCAAGAGAAAAATGTGACACCTTAGAGCAAATGCTTGAAGGTAACCAAGTATCATTATAAATATTGTATTTTATAAAATCGCTTTTATATCTTCGTACAGCTCAATTCTAGCATACCCTTCCACAGAGATATACAAGCCTTCCCAGCCACAGGGCGCTTGCTGCTGTTTCCTATCAGGCAGCGGGGTGGGAGGGTTCTCAGATGTCTGCTTCTCACAGTGCAGGCTCAGGGCTTCCGCCAGCAGAACTCAGGAGGGGCTCACACTTCCGTCACGTGACTGCCTTGGCCCCACCTTTCAGAATGCTCAGTACTAAGTAGTGTGGGTTTTATTTCTACGTGGGGAGAATATATCTTTCGGTGGCGATGAGCAAGTGCAGCTAAGCGGCAGAGCTCAGGGCTAACACTGCTTGTTCTTCAGGGCGTTCATGGGCTTCTGGTTCTTATTCTTGAACATCTTGACAAAGCTGTTTGGCATGATTTTGCCACGTCCATCCTCACCTACTTGTCCCATAATAATGTAATTCAGACCTAAAGAAAGAGAATATATATTATATATAAACATATATCTATATATAAATGTTTTCTTTTTCTTCTTTATGTTCATGGCTAAAGGCTTCCTACCCCATCAGAGCAGACAATGTTTTAGGCCTGTCTACCTTCCCTAGACCAGCCCCTGCCTGGCAAGGTCCGTGACCCGGTCCCTGCTGCTGAGCTCCCCACAGAAGGAAGGCGCTGGGTCGATCCTCACCTCGTCTGAGAAGGGGGCACTGCCTGCAGACCACGATGAGCTTCACACTCATGTTCTTGCCGGCCTGCTGGATGGCCAGGTTGCCCTCCCTGTAGATGCTGATGATGGAGACCGTGGCGTGCAGACTCCCGCCTCGCGTGACCGTTGTGATGACGGTGCCGGCTAGCACTGTAGAGGAAAACCGACGGTGAAGGCAAACCCAGGCAGAGCCGAAAACGGTTTCAGTCCTTTCCGGTTTCCGAAATGAAAATTTAGTGCTAAAGGGCTCTCAGAACTGGGCACTAGAAATGCAGGTTAGACACGGATCAGAGAGCTACAAGGCCTGTGTTTGGGGGTTTAGTTCCCAGAAGAGAAATCCAGCTGCTTTCCCACACATCAACCCCTGGCCCCTGAGATGGAAACTCACTTAAAATTCTCCCTCCAACATGTGGATAGATTGCCACAGAGAGGACAGAGTTATGAGCCTGGCTTATTGGTTGATTAAATGAGGGGGGAGGGGAAGGCGGGCTGGGGAGGGAAGGGAGAGAGGGGGCGGACTGGGGTGTGTGTGTGAAGGAATCAGGATGTCTGGTTATGTAATAAGGGCCTCCGGGAGAGAAGCCCCATCCCTAGGTGGAGAGCAGGGTCCGGCAGGCCCGCCCCGCATGGGGACTTTAACCTATGAGTACCGAGCAAGTCTGTTCATCTCACTTAGAAAATCAAAGCAGAGAGCTGAGCGATGGCTTCGAACAAAGCGTAAGCTGTGCGTCCCTTCACACGACCCCAACCTGTCCCCAGGGGGCGTTTCCTTCCCTGCCGAGAACTCCCGGTCCCTTGGTGATAATCCGCTCACCGCGCCATCCGAGCGGGCCACAGACCACGGGCTGAATCTAGTTTTAGACGTGGCTGCCGTTACCCCTCCGGACGGCAACTCCTCCCACCCAAGACTAACCCAGGGGTGGCTGCAAATACACCTGACGATCTTTGCTGAACCCAGCACGGAAACTGCAGAAAGACCCGTTGCCACCGGAGGGTACTGAGAAGAAGCTGGAACTTGGGGTGGGGTGGGGTGGGCTTGTTCTTGATAACTTGTTCCGCTGCAGCAACTTTCCTTTCCCGAAGAGTTTAAATTTGGCGTCTCTCGTTCTCCAGCGGTTTTCACGAGGGTGTGAGCTTTTGATCTCCCTTAGGGAAGCCCAAGCGCTTCATGCCTCCCTCCTCCTCTCGTTCCAGTTTGCAGGAGCGTCAACTGGACGTCAGATTTTTCACGTTTTATACCTCAGCGCTTTGGAAACCCGAGGCTGTGAACGCGCTTGCGTTTCTTTTGGCCGTGAGCTTAGCTACCTAATGTACGTAAGCCATAGGCCAGATGTGAGAAAATAGCCCTCTGGAGTATGAAAAGCAAACCAAAACACGTAGGACAAAAAGACTCTACAGGCTTTTTCACAAAGTCAGCCAGAACCCGGTCGAGTACCAAGAGTCAGCTGGTTAAAGGGGTGGGCGGGGGCGGGGGAGTACGGCCTCTAGAGCTTGTTTTTCTCATTGTGAGGCCCAACAGTCCAAAGAGCGCGGGCGGACACACTCGGGTGGACACTGCTTCCCGGGAAACTCCCTGTTGCTGAACCGCCTCTATTCAAGTCACCTGGGGGGGGGGGGGGGAGCGGAGCGTGCCTTTGAGGCCTTTGAGATTAAGCACACAAGTCTCAAGTTTCTCGTTAGAGAGAGAAGGCTGGTCTCTGTTTCTTACCAAAGTTGCTTGAACAGTAATTGCTCTCCAGAGTCCCAGTCCGTCTACACTTTTGCTGACACAGGGCCACGGTGGGTTTTAAACCTAATTGAAAGAAGAAATTCAAAGAAGGGAGTCAGGAGATTCAGGAAAATGAATTCGAGTCTAATTTGGTGTTTATATCAGAATCTAGCCAGTTGCAAATACCATTCATTTCCCTGAGCCCCCAATCTACCACTGCAATGAAATAATTATGAGCCACGCAAGAGGAATTCTTCTGCTACCAGCTACTGTCTCACAGGAACTCAGTATTCTCCACTGGATTTTAAACCTGAGGTCAACAATAATCCGACTTTAGCCTTATTCTCTCCTCTTTTAAAACCAGTGGTTCTCAGCCTTCCTAAGGCTGTGACCCTTTAATACCATTCCTCATGTTGTGAGGAACCCCAACCATAAAATTATTTTCGTTGCTGCTTCATAACTGTAATTTTGCTGTTGTTATGAATTGTAATGTAGATACCTGATGTTTCCAATGGTCTTAGGTGACCCCTGGGAAAGGTTGAGAATCTCTGCTTTATATGAACTCTATCCCAGAATAGACCTGTGTGCCCAGGTTAGGAAAACAGAACAAAAGAAAGCACATACACACACACACACACAAACAACAAAAAACCAACAAACAAACCCCCCCCCCCCAAAAAAAAAAAAAAAAAAAAAAAACAGAAAAAGCAACAGGACAAATCTGAGCTGACTGAGCACACGTCAATTCTTCACAAGAGGGATTCTGTGGTGGTCTGTGAGGGTTAGAGTAGCTTCTTGGTGTGCTTAAAATATGCAGCTAGCTAGAGTTCAGTAGTGCAGGACTTTAGGAATGCTACTCACGTGTAAAACATGAGGTCTGACGCCAGGAATCACCATTTATTTTGAATCCACTATTGACTATAAGGGTCTCAAGAAGTAAACACTAACCAGTTCCTTCATCAAGAGTCACAAGGTGAAGGTCTAAGTAGACACAACCACAGTTGTTCTCAATTGGCGGCAACTTTGTTCTGTGGGAGACATGGTGATCCCAGGAAACCGTCACAGTTTTCTGACTGAGGGGGCACCAACGGTATCTCGTTCACAGCGTAAACTGTGCGTCGGTGCTGGTTGGTTTCTGCCAACCTGTCACAAACTGAGACACCCCCGGGAGGAGGCCATCTTAGCTGAGAAATGCCTCCATAAGATCAGCATGTAGGCATCTCTTGATTAAGGGTCGCTCGCTGTGGGCGATGCCGGCCCGGGCTGGTGGTCCTGGGTTGTCTAAGAAAGCAGGCTGAGCAGGCGTGGAGGAGCAAGCCTGTAAGGAGCACCCCTCCGTGGACGCTGCACTACTCCTGCCCTGACTTCCCTGGATCCTGGACTACAAGACGTAAGATGAAAGACATTCTTTCCTTCCCAAGTAGCTTTCGGCCACGGTGTTTTATCACAGAAACACAAACCCTGGCTAAAACTGCGCCACCGCTCACGTAAGGTCCCGTAACTGAATGTGTGTGTGTGTGGGGGGGGGGGGGGGTCGCAAAAAGTTTGGCACTCCTACAAGGTTTCTCAGTGCACAATGGCCCAAGAAATGACTCCGCTTCGAACACACAATGTGTCTGAATCCGAAGCGTTTGTGGCAGCATCTGCCTGTGCTGCCCTGCAGCACAGCTCACGCTGCCAGGCCCCTCACACCAGGCCTCCCTCCCTGAAACACCTCGGCTCAGATTCCATTCGCCCGCGTGGAGCACCTGTTGAGTTTTTACTGTAGCTGCAAAGTTGCCTGCCCTAAAACACAAAAATTAGTTCTCTCCAAATGAGTCTCTCAGGGGAAACAAACCACGCCTCAGGGTAGGCCCATGTCCGGCAATAGATGGCTGACACAACAGGAACTCGGCGGCAACTTTGGAGGTTCTTTGTCTCCTAATGTTAGGTGAGAGCATTTAAAAACAACAACAAAACAACCTTACAGATTCTTTTTGTATGTACTATGGCTTTGTTTTAATGGTTTTTGTGGTTTTATGAGATGCCTGTGTGTGTGTGTGTAAATGTGTGTGTGAATGTGTCTAGATGTGTTTCTTGTGCTTTCTCTTTGGTTGTTTTTCTTAAACATACATTTAAAAGAAAAAAAAAGAATTCAGAAAACATTTTAGGAGGAGGGAGCTATGTCATCTCTACTGGTTAGTTCTTTGTCAACTATCAGCTTGTGTCACAAGCTGGAGACATCTTGGAAGAGAGAATCTTAACTGAGAAAGGGCTTTTATCGGATTGACTGTAGGCAAGTCTGTGGGGGGCGTTTTTTTTTCTTTTTATTATTCTAAGTGTGTGACTCTTTTGCCTGTATGTATGTCCAGGTGCCACATGTATGCCTGATGCCGAGGAATGCTGGAAGAGGAGGTTGGATCCCCTAGGACTGGAGTTTCAGACAGTTGTAGGCTGCCATGTGCGTGCTCAGAATCTAACCCAGGTCCTCTGGAGGAACAGCCAGTGTTCTTAACATCTGCGCCTTCTCTCCAGCCCTAGCATTTTCCTTCATGATTGATGTTGAAGGGCATCAACCCCCTGAGGATGGTGCTAGACAGGTGGTCCAGGAAGCAAGCTGAGCGAGTCATGGAAGGCAAGCCAGTAAGCCGCGCTCCTTCACGGTCTCTGCCTCAGGTCCTGCCTCCAGCTTCCTACCTTGAACTCCTGTCCTGGCTTCCCTCAGGGATGGACTACTTCCCAGAGTGTGAGATGAAATAAACCTCTCCGCCTCAAGTTGCTTTTGGTCAGTGTTTTATCATGGCAGCAGACAGCGAAGTGGGACATCACTGTTCTAGAAGTGCTGGTCTTCAACTGGAAGATAAACTTCCCTAATGACTCAGAAAAACTCAATGGCACAGGGATGAAGGTAAGCATCTTCCAGGAGGATTGTGGGGAATCGGCTCCTTTTCGGTCTTGGAATGTCTGCCAAGTGTATCTCTGCCCTCTGGTCCTTAAGTCAGAGCTTGCGCCATTCCACCTACCCCATCTTGTATTTATCTCAATTTCTGCACAAGCAAACACCCCCTGGCTCTCAGCCTTTCTCGTGTGGATTCTTACACTATCTCCGGGAGTCCACCCTCTTCATGGATGACCCAGCTTCATCCTCATTAGGGAAGACCATCTGCCATCAAACCTAGGCTCAGATGTCCTCATACAGAATCATGTATAGTGCCCATCTCTTAAAAGGCAAAAATTTAGACATCTTAATATCCAGGATAGCTCCCCTTCTTCCAGGATCATTTATTTAATCTAATGGCTACCCTACCCCATTGCTGGAGGGTCGGTGCCCTGAGCTCTCACATGGTTCCTAGCCAATTCACTCCAGCTAGCTTTTACTTGCTTAGTTATAACACTTGGCTTCTACAGTCCATTTTCCAGTCAACCACGTTGGGGTTTGGTCTGATGCTTGTATTTTGACACTAATTACTGGACCTCAAGATCTGGTTACTATCTGGATACACCTATCCTTGTTATCTAAACCTGCCTAAGACATTTTTCCTGATTGGTTGATTAAAGGCCTAAAACCTGGGCAGGGCAGAATGGGGTAGGTCTGGCTAAGGTTCCCAGGCTTTGGGAACAGGACAATCAGCAGAAACAGAGAGATGACGGGAAGAGAGAAGGAAGGAAGGAGGGCCCCTCGATGAGTTAGCATGGAGGAGGAACCATTCCTGGAGAAAGGACTCCAAGAATGGCGTAGAGAGAAACACCAAGATGAAAAAATGTGAGCAAGTATTTATAAGATTATAGACGGGAGGTAGACCAGATAGGAATTGTTAAGGTAGATGGCATTGGATGGGGGCTGGGAGGTGGATGGTGAGATTATTGAGGCAGCATAGGTAAAAATATCTGCTCAGCCCAAAGTAGATAATTATAAAATCTAACAGGTGTCTGTGTCTTATTAATTGTGACAGCGGGTTAAATGATACCTCCATAATAATTGTAGCTTAATAATAAACATTTATTAGGACATACCCTTTAAATATACGACAGCACAACCATTTTCTTTACAGTCATTTAAACCATCATGTTCCCTCTCTCCATCAAGAAGTCCTCCTGCAGGAGAATGCTCTTTTTGGTGCCTGCACTCGAGTTAGCTGAGTTCACAGCACCAGAAAGTGACAGGCTCCCGGTGAATCAACCGGCTGCCCCATTTCCACAACCGTTTGTCAGATTTTCATTCTCCTAGCTGCTGGTGCCGTCACTCCTCCCCAGCGTGCCTCAGTGGTCACAGCAGAGAACCTTCTTGGTGTACCCACTAACCCTCAAGGCCACCTCCACACCCACACTCTCTTCTTTGGCTTCTCTTAGGGAGGAGGCTACGCTCTTTGGTCCGAGCCTTTCCAGTAGGGAGTGTGCAGACTATAGCCTTTGTGACAGACCTTCCCACCTCTGTTCCTTCTGTCCCCTGCATTCACCTCTCTGTCACTGCACCATACTGGTGTTAATGTGTTGGTCTCTCAGTGGTTCTATCTATCTATCTATCTATCTATCTATCTATCTATCTATCTATCT